GGTAGTCAGAACGTGCTGATAATGGACCCCAGTTCTACAGGAACGATGCAGCGGATACAGAGTGAAAAGAGCATCCTGGATGAACCAGACTCTCCGATAGAGGTCAGTCAAAGAATATTTCTGTATTTATACTCCTACTTTGTTTGATTGCTCTGATGAAAAGCTTGGCAGCATTACACATTTCTCAGCACCAAGGACAGCGTCTCAGTTTTTAGGCCTAACTATATACCTGCATATAGGTAGGCCTGAAAAGCTTTTTTAAAAGGTCTTACATAGTTAATTTTTAAAAGAAAGTTCTCCCTAAAAGTCCCTAATAGTTTCCAGTATTTCATATACTGAAGCTGTGCTGGAGAAAAGATTAATGATCATACTCCCAGTGTTTGTGCAATGTTTTGTGCTTGCTTATTGCATCCCCATAAGACGATAAAGACGACATTGTCAAATTAAAATACTAAAAAGAAGCAGAAGTAAGTCAGCTACGTATTTCTGAAGAGCAACGTTATTTTTCACGAAGCCTGCGAAGAAACAAAAAAAATGTTTTCTGTTACTCATCTCTACTTGCTTAACCTGTTTAATTATGCTGATATTGTTTTTACTCTTTCTAAGAATTTGAAGCCAGGGAATTATTTTAGTTTCTGGCTATCATGATCTTTCGACTGTTGTATCTATATTTCTTTTCTGAGAGTAGCAGTTCTATTCTAGTGATTTTGTTCCCCTGGTTCTCGGCACTGTTGTTCAGCTGGTAGATAATGTAATTAAAACTTCTCTTGTTTGTGGTACATCGTTCTCAATTTAACTTTTCCACTCACTATTAGTTGTATACACTCTTCAGTGAAAATTTATTTTATTAATGAAAGTAATTTCATATTGATCCCCACGGCTTAGATCGTTGTCACAAAGATTCAAGTCTCGTGTGATTTCTACCTTTTAGACTCTAAGGGACGCTGTTGGCCGCTGAAATATTTTCTCTGTTATGTTGTCATTCAGTCCATCCTCTCAGAAACCACACGGTGAGGACTGCTATCTGTGTTTTGTCGAGGGTTCATGTGAACGAAGTCTCACAGATTTCCGCTTAACGCTTGAGAACAATTTTATAAGCCAACCAGCTACTGGTATACTAGGGTATTTTTGTTACTGCCTAAAGAGACGATTTTTTCTTTCTTTGTATCTTTTTTGTCTGAGTAATGGCGCCTGTAAGACGTCTACATTACATATCACCAGGGTGGGAATCATTTTGTGGAGTACGACGTCGCATAGGATCGCTTCTGTTGCTGCTTCTTGCGGTTAACATGGTAGGTGGTCAGATTCGGTATTCTATACCTGAGGAGATGAAGAAAAGCTCTGTTATTGGTAATGTGGCGCAGGATCTTGGCTTGGATCTGAAAAGGCTCAGCTCAGGGCAGGCCCGTATCGTGACCGGAGAAAATGTTCACTACACCGAGCTGCAGAAAGACAAAGGGATTCTGGTCGTGAATGAGAGAATAGACCGAGAGCAGCTTTGTGGGGACGTAACGCCGTGTAGTTTCAGCTTTGAGATGATTTTGGAAAACCCGATGGAACTACACAGAATAACTGTCGAGGTTTTGGACATAAATGATCACGCACCTGTCTTCCCAAACAAAGATAAACCCATCAGTTTTGAAATAAGCGAATCAGCTGCAGTTGGAGTACGTTTTCCTCTGCAGAGCGCGCAGGATCTAGATGTGGGCCAAAACGCTCTGCAAAATTATATTCTGTCCCCAAACGACAATTTTATATTGAAACAACATTCAAATCCAGATGGAAGAAAATATGTTGAAATGGTGCTCCAGAAACCTTTAGACAGAGAGCGACACCCGCATTTCTCTTTGAAATTAATCGCAGTTGATGGAGGAACACCGCAGAGATCTGGTACAGTAAATATAGATGTGACTGTGTTAGACGCCAACGACAATATTCCAGTTTTTAATCAATCAGTGTACAAAGCATCTGTGTTGGAAAACACAAAAACAGGGACTAGTATCATTACAGTAAATGCAACAGACGCAGACAGTGGATCATATGGACACATTACATACAGTTTATCCGAAATGAAAGAAAGTGCAGCGGACATTTTTAGAATTAATGAAAACACCGGAATAATTTACGTGTCTGGTCAGATTGACTACGAGAAAGACAAAAAATACGAGTTGAGGGTAGAGGCAAAAGATCACGGTGGACTAACTGGGACAAGTAAAGTTATATTTGATGTTATTGATGTTAATGATAATGCTCCTATTATA